AAGATTATCTTCTGTGTCTGTGTTAATTGGTTTCCCTTTTCTTTGTTGAAGAGGGTCTGTGCAATCCTTCTGCCTAGTCCGCCATCTTGCCCCGCCTCTCCAGTGGCTGATTTTTTAGATGTAGATTGACAAGCCTTTCTCCTGAGGCTCCTCTGCATGAACCTGAACCTCCAACCTTTTGGTTAGTAGCTGCATGCATTGACCACTACCCAGTGACTCCTTAAGATCTATGTTGTTGTTGTTTGCCATCGAGTCGGCCCTAGGTATATCATTATCTTCATGGGAGAAGAGGACTCCTGGTGGTATGATTGTTAAAGCACTTGGATGCTAACCCAAAGGTCAGTGGTTCAAACTCGCCAGCTGCTCTGTAGGAAAGATCAGCCTCTGTAAACATTTACAGCTTTAGAAACCCTATGGGGCAGTTCTACACTGCTTGTAGAGTTGCTATGAGTCAGAATCAACTCAACAGCAGTAGCTTATAAGGAGGAATTCATTCATTCATTCAATTAATGTTTTGTGAACATCTACTATGAGTTGGATGTAGGTATTCAACAGTAAACAAGATTACCTTGGTCCTTAAGTTATTAAATGTGTAGTCAAGAGACAAACTGAAAAATTAACTTTTCACCAATAAGATAAGATCTACAATAATGGCATGTACAATGGAGCAGAAAATATTGCCTATTCACAAGGTGGTCCTCATAACAGTTATTTGGTTGTCATTTACAGATTGGCAAAATCAACACTGGTCCTCATTCCTTTATTGGGTGTTCAGGAGATCCTCTTCTCTTTCATCACTGATGAGCAACTTCAAGGATTTTCAAAACTGATACGACTCTTCATTCAGTTGGCACTAAGCTCCTTCCATGTAAGTGGGCATCTGAATCATCATGTCTTGGTTTTGGAGCAAACAAAAATGCATGTGGTCTAGCCTTGGAATTGAGAGAGTCCATGGATGCAAATCAACTTCTAGCATCAGCAGGCTTCATCAGAGAAAGCCCTTGGCATTAGAGGAGTGTATAGATGGAAATGTTACCTTGATCCTACCAGCATGACCCAGTGACTCATAGCGACCCCTCCTTGGGTTTCCAAGGCAGTATCACTACAGAAGTCGATTGCCCAACCTTCCTTGCAAGGAGTGGCTGGTGGGTTTGAAGTGTCAGCCTTCTGATTAGCAGTCACATGCCTTAGGCACTATGCCACCAGAGCTCCTATAGATGGAAATGTTACCTTGATCCTACCAGCATGACTCAGTGACTAAGAAGGGAAAAGCAGTCAGTGTCCTGGGCTTAAGAGTTGGTGTGACTCATGATCATATTAACTGTGAATGTCAGCCTGAAGCCTTTTATTAAGTGCCTATTCTCTGGTAGCATAGTGGCTAAAGCACTTGACTGCTAACCAGAAGGCTGGCGGTTCAAACCCACCAGCCACTCCTCGGAAGGAAGGTTGGGCAATC